CAAGTTTGAAATTTCATTAAGGCAGCATGAGTATCTGCTTCAGAAGGCGTTGATTTAGTGCTGGGTCTTCATCCCTCCAAGCAGCCAGGGACTGGTTAGGTAAGGCTTGATGGCCTGATGCTGACATGACAGTCTAGTCGAGGAAGCTGGAGAAAGTCTGCTGCGGACGTTTAGAAAGGATGTGCTCTTGCTGTAAGAGACACGCAAGCAGAGATGTCCTTCTGCTGGGCATATGATTCTGGATAAATTGCGTTTCTGACACTGGAGCTGAGTATTAGCTACTACAAAGAGTATGGTAAAAAAAAGGCTAATTCCCCAAAACGGGGCTTAAAAATGACGATTGTAACAGGTTGAAGTCAATTGCTCAAAGTGACATATTTATCTGTGGTATAGTTCCAGCAAAGCAGACTTACAGTGAGTCTCCTAAGCGTCAAAGCTCAGGTTCCAAATACTCCTGTCGGTTGAGACTGTTCCAGAGGTGAGGACCGGGTCTTTATGGGGATAGTGACCGTGCCTGTGAAGAGGGCACTGGAAGCCTTTAGGAAGGCTTTATACTTGCCATGAGGCAGGAATCCAGTGGAAGACATTGGAAGCAAGAAAAGAAACAGAAGAGACACTAAGCCATGTTTTTATTGCAAATAATAAAACTGACCCAAAGGGAGAATGACCGACTGGAAGAAGTAGCAGGTTTTGAAATCACAGTGCTGATCCTGCAATTCCAGCTCTAGCAAGGAATGAGTGTTTCTGAGACTCTCTAAATCTCAGGTTTCACATTTGTGAAAAAAAGTTAGTGATACTTATCTCTTAGATAAGAGACTGGCAGAACACCTGGCTTATTATATGGACTCAATAAAGGAACACTCTTGTTAGAAAAATGTTTATTATAACGAGGTCACTCAGCTAGCAAGTCATGTGATAGAAGTTTAATTCTGCTAAACAGGAGCCAAAAATTTCTTGACGTGCTATTTACGTGCTGTTTTTGTCAACTTAATGTATTAGAAGGTAGAAAAAATAAATTGTAGCTCTTTCATTCAGACTCAGAAGAAGCTCTAAAAAATGATGATGGGGAGCCCTCCCGTGTGGTGCAACGTTCTAAAGCTTGACACTCTGAAGCTGTCCTCAGGCACTGCAGCATGAGTTCGGTCCCCAGCCAGGGAGGTGACCCACACGGCCTGGCAGACCTCTCCAGTCTCACCCACTGCTCCCCTCAGCAGTGTACTTTGTCAGTCTACCTGTTCTGCTTCCCTCTGTGTCTCCTGTGAATTCTCTCACCACCCCTGCACCTCTGGCCTATACCCCAGTTCTATGTGCAAAAATAAATCGTAAAAAAAAAAAGAGAAAGAAATTAGAGTGATAATTTTCACAAAATTGAATGAAAAAATACATATGATCTCAAGACTCTAAAAGAAATTGGTAGTTTTTAAAAAAGTTATCAGGGATGTAAATTGGATTTATTAGGCTTATGAAATTCTCCTGTCCTTCAAACTACCTCAGCTGTGTCTCCCACTTCTTTTTATTTTTTTCCCCACTCCAACCATTTTACCTCCTTGTCTTTTTCTCCCTCCCTGTACCTCAGAGCCCACACAATATTTAAAAATAAGTTTTTTCTAATTTTTTTCTTTTTCAAAGATTTATTTATTTATACATACAAGAACTGGGGTATAGGCCAGAGGTGCAGGGGTGGTGAAAGGATTCACCAGAGACAGAGTGGAGAGCAGAACAGGCAGATCGACGAAGTCCTCTGCTGAAGTGGGTGGGTCAGGAGAGGTCTGCCGTGCCATGTGGGTCACCTCCTGGCCGGGGATGGAACTCATGCTTAAGTGGCTTTAGCTTCTTAGTGCTATGCTTTAACAGGGAGGACCCAGTTCTAAAAATTTTAATAAGCGTTTTACAGGGTCAGGTCATCTGCTATGTAAATAAATGTTCAGTACTTGTCTTTGTCATTCAGACTTGCATTACTCAGCAAAATTTCCTCAACTCCCATCTTTTTTGATGTAAATGGCATCATTTCATTTTTCCTCCTGGCTTAGTAGTACTGAAGAGGAGATAGACCCCGTCTTCTTGATCAGGCATCTATTGGTGAGCCCTTAGCCTGCATCCACATCCCAGCTGTTGTAATAGAGGTATAATAAACACTGGAGGGCATTGAAGGCTTTTATATTGATGATTTCATGTTTGTTGGTTATAGACGCAAGAGTGGGATTGCTGGGTCACACAGTATTTCTATTTTTACTTTTTAAAGGTAAATCCAGATCACTTTCTATAATAACTATAGCTGTTTACATTCCCACCAACAGTGTAATGGGGTTCCTCTTTCTCCACGTCTCCTCCAGCACTTCTTAAAGGTCTTTTTTTAAAAAATATATAATATTTTATTTTTACATCACTTTGTGCCTTTTCCCATCTCAGTTGTAATCCCTTTGGGCTTCCCATCACCAAATCACCCGTGTGCCATCACCACAGTCCAGTGCACTTCCGCCCCCCACCCCCATTTTTGATCCCATTCCCCACTCCACCCTGGTAAAATGTCTCTGGTCTTTAACTGTTCACTATTATTATTTTCTCCCCTGGTCCTTTATACTTCTGCTATGAGTGGTATTTTTCCTTTTTTTTTTTGGCTTATTTCACTAAGCATGATCCGTTAAGGGTCTTTTTAATATGTGCTGTTGTCACTGGTGTTAACAAACCACATTGTGGTTTGTTTTAAACTGCATCTCTTTTACTGGGAGCAATAATGGACCTTTTTTCACAAGGTCCTTGGCCTTCTGGCTATCATCCTCCTCGGTGAATTATCTGTTCATATCTGCTGCCCATATATTACTTGTATTTGTTTTATTGTTGTATGAATTTTTTAATATATCTTGGATATTAACCCTTTGTTGATGATCTATTATATAAAACCTTTCTTTCAATAGGATCCCTTTTTAAACTCCTAGTATTTTTTTCATGGTACAAAAGCTTTTTGACATGAGGTAATCACAGTTTTTTAAAAAGATATATTTTATTTATGCATGCATGCAAGAACTAGGTTCTAGGCCAGAGGTGTGGGGTGGGGATGGAGGAGATGGGTAAGGAGGTGAGAGGATTCACCAGAGACAGAGTTAGGAGCAGAATAGGGGAATTGACTGAAATACATTGCTGAGAGGAGCCATGTGAGTCAGCTCCCTGCCCAGGGATCGAACCACACTCAAACTCATGCCACAGTGGCTGGTGATAGCTTGATAGTGCTGGGACTTTAATCCCTGTACCACCAGGGAGGCCCAACACAATTGTTTTTTGTTTGTTTCACTCCTTGAATGCTTTGAATTGTTTATTTTTGCTTTTATTTCCTTTGCGCAGGGGGTTAAGTCTCCCAAAACATCTCTATCATTGATGTCATGGAATATGTCACCAATATTTTTTTTCTATATTTTATTATTATAGGTCTTATATCTAAATCTTTAATTCTCTTAGAATTTATTTCTGTATATGGAGTTAGAGAGCTATCCAGCTTCTTTCTTTTATCTGTGACCTTCTAATTTTCCTACATTTATTAAAGAGGTTTTCCTTTCCTCTTATATGGTTGTAGCTGCTTTGTCATAGAGTATACTGATCTGTATGTGGATTTATTTTTGAGCTTTTGAATCTATTCTGTTGATCCATGTGCCAATACTGTATTGTTTTGAGTATTGTTCTGTATAGTACAGTTTGAACTCAGGTAACATGATGCCTCTGTTTCCTTCCTTTTTTTCTCAGAATTGCTCTTGCAATTTGAGGCCTTTCATGGTTCCATATAAATTTCAATAAACTTTGTCAATTTATTTGAAAAAAAAATTGTTGGTATCTTTATGACATTACATTTGTATATCACAGGATAGTTATTTTGATTCTCTCCATCCATGAGCATGGGATCCTTCCAACTCACTAAGACCTTTAGTAACATCTTGTAGTTCGTGTCTTATAGGACCTTCACCTCCTTAGGTTAATTCCCAGGTGTATAATTCTTTTTAAAACATTTGTAAATGGAGCTTTTTCTTGATTTTTTCCCTTCGTTTGTTGCTATGTATTTTTATATAGTGGAGTTTTTTTTTTTTTAAATAAGATTTATCTATTCATGCATACAAGAGCTGGGATGTAAGTCAAAGATGGGGTGGTGGTGGTGGTGAAAGGATGCCCCAGACACTGTGGGGAACAGAATAGGCAAATCCACTGAAACACACCGCTGAGTAGAACAACGGAGGGTGAGTCAGGTATGGTCTGCTGCACCATGTGGGTCAGCTTCCTGGGGGGAAGGGGGGAGGGGGAGACAGAGCTCTTGCTGCAGTGATTGGTGTTAGCTTCATAATTCTGAGACTTAACCCCTTGTACCACCAGGGAGGCCCTTTATTTTGTTTTTGTAATCTGCCACTTGGCTGTATTCATCTATTGATTCTAATAGCTTTTGGGTGGAGGCTATAAGGCATTCTGTATGTAATATATCATAAGTGTAACACTCATGTATCTTCAATGTCAGATCTAACTCCCAGGAGGGTGGGGACCTTGTGATGTCGTGTTCCCAGCTGAAAACTTAGCTCCTACAACTCACAATAATGATAAATCGGACGACTGCCTTCACAGCACGGAAAGAGAGAACAGGCCACAGGTGGACTGAGATTTGTCCAAAGTTGCGCAGAAAGCTCCCAGAGGGAGAGCTGGAGGTAAGAATTCAGAGATCCGGGCAGCAGACACTCAGAATGAAGTCAAGGTTCAGCCCTGAAGTTGGATTGTTCACGGGAGAACACAGCCAGCCAGTGAACACCGTGTCCTAAGTGCTTGCCCCTTTTTCGTGAGGAGACTGGGCCAGGAGAAGGCGGCTTCAGGAGCAGTGGGTGGATCCCGGGCGTGGCTGCCGGCCAGGTCACGGCGGGTGGCTGCTGCGGCCCTGCCTGCCACCAGCAGCAAAGAGTGAAAAACAACCTGACTTTAGAAAGACAATTAACAAAGGCAGGGGATCCCCCCCCTTCCCCCCTCTACGGCGCACGCACGCGCGCAGAGTGAGCAGAGCCGCGCCCGCCCGCGCCCTTCGTGGGAATCACGGTGCCCGGGCCCCAGCGCAGCCACGGGGCTGGGAGCAGGTACCCCCTGTGGCTGGGGTTGCACTGTCACCTGGTGGCGGAGCTACGCGCGTCAGTTAGGCACCTGGCGCGCGGTGAGTCCGCCCAGGCGATTGGGACTGGCCGGCTGCATGGGGCAGGGGAGGCCCCCGGGAAAATAGCTGCTGGACAGATCCGAAGAGGGAATTGGGGGGATTGAGCAGGTGGGGGGAACCGCGGTAACCTCCGCGGGGGGTTCTTGGGGAGCCGCTTTGTGTTTGAGCCTTGTGGGAATTCAGCAACCCGATCATGTGATCCAGGTGTTCAGTAATGGGGAACTGAGGCTCAGAGAGGTAAGCTGGTCTCGTGAGAACTCTTATTCCTGGTGTCTGTTTATAACTACCTGCTTTGAAATGGGAAGTTTTTCGTAAGAATCTTAAGTAATGGAATAATGCCAACCATGGAAATAATTTTTGCTATGGAAAGTAAACTTATGACTAGACTGTCAAGACCAGGGTAAAAGGAATATGGATATGCTGTCCCTGAGGTGAGCTGCCTTGAGCCATGATCCTCAGGAAAGTACTACTGAAGCTGGAACTCAAATCCAGAATGTCTGTGCCCCCAACACAGTGAGCCTGGGAAATTTAGAGGGTGATGGAGAAGCTCACAGTCTGCCTAGGCACTCGTTCTCTACCTTCTTGGGATCACTGGCTCCCACAAAGAGGCAGTTTCAGATCTGACATGAGGCATTCCTGCTGTAAGGAGAGGCTGAAGGCTGGGCCTCCTGCTGGCCATTTCAGAGGAATTTCACAACTCCTTTAAAGGAAAACAACTGAGGAAGCGAGTCCTTACCTGTGTCCAGACAGCTGCCGGACACAGCCAATGGTATGATCTTGGACACACAGTTTAGCCTCTCTAAGGCCCAGTTTTATTTGTAAAATGGAGGTAAGATTCTTTGCTTCACTTTTCCAGTTATTGTCAGACTTAAGAATGAATGAGCCCAGAACCTAGCATGTAGTAGCTTCTCCATTCGAGTGCTGACTAATCATAGCTCCGCCAGTTGGGAAAGGATGACCTGCAATAAATTGGACCGCATCTGAAATAAAGTTGTAAACATGCAAACATCAAGTTGGTGGTAGAACCGTAGTAAGGGTGGTTTACTTGGAATAAAGCACCACTCTCAATATTTGACCCAAGGTCAAATGCTGAAAGTGGAAACTACCAGATGGTCTAACAAGGACTGTTTATTAGGTCTCACTAACCTCTTTGAACGGTTTGTTTTTAAATGAGAGGAAAGAGAAGGACATAAATGGGGACCCAGGCAACACCCATCATGAGCCAGTGGTGGAGGCCCCCACTGAGTTAGTGCCAGGGCATAGGAGCTGTTGGCAGTTGGCTCACATCCCCCTGGGTCAGCAGCTTACTGTGCTAAACAGTGCCTTGGTTGATTTAGCTGTAGATCAAATGAAAGCTTTTTATTTAACTAGTGATTGTATGTGTGCACGGGGCGTGTCGTTAGATTCTGTAATGGAAGCAAAATGATGTTTGTTGAGCTTGAGTATCCAAAGTCTGTTGCTTGTTTCTTGACAGGTTTAAAAACTTTAAAAATCTCTGGATCCAAAATTGTAAGGACAGGGCTTGAGCAAGTCTACTTATCTATAAAAAGAATTGCTCTTACAAAATACTGTGGTTCTTCTTTCTCTGCCACTTTAGGCTTGCAGAGAAAGCCAGGAAAATATCACTTAGGGCAAATAGCTGCTAGTTAGTTTGTGCTAAGACATGCAGTACCTGTCTGGTGAGTTGCAATCCTTTCCATGAGATTATAGAGGGGAGTTTTTCCTCAGAAAACTCTCTCTCTCATATGTTTCTGGGATGTCTTTTGCCTGCTTTGTACATCATCCCCAATTACTCATTTCACAACTCACAAGTCCTTCTTCTGCAAGCCTAGTAACTTTGGCAATTCCTTCCCTTGGCTTTGTGGCCTAATTTTTCTAAATAGCTCTGACTTTTCTGATTTGACCTTTATGTGTTCCATAGGATGAAATGCAAACATGTTCACTCTCTCAAATAGGCATAGGCTCCTATTTGAAGGCGGCCCTGCTTCCCTTCCATGTGTTTCCCCCTCCAGGCCCACCCATTTACTCCTTCAACCATTCCTTAGTATGACAAGATCAAGAGCAGAATTTCTCAAAAAAATGATCTGCAGACCATTTGCATCAGAATTACCTGATGCAAGGGGCTTTTTTTTTTTTTTAATATTTATTTATACATACAGAACTGGGATACAGGCCAGAGGTGCAGGGTGGTGAGAGGATTCACCAGAGACAGAGTGGGGAGCAGAACAGGCAGATTGACAAAGTACACTGCTGAGGGGAGCAGCGGGCGGGTCAGGAGAGGTCTGCCACGCCATGTGGTCACCTCCGGGGCAGGCGGGAATCGAACTCATGCAGAAGCGGCTTTAGCTTCTTTAGTGCTGTGCTTTAACCCGCTGCGCCACCAGGGAGGGCCGCAAGGGGCTTTTGATGACAGGCATGTGAAATATCCATCCCTGACCTGCTGAATCAGAATCTTTGTAGAAGGAATTATTGCATACCTAATTGGTGCTCTTGGTGAGTCCCTTGTATCTTTGGCTACCTATTTGGGGATTGGGAGTGGATGACTGTTAGCTCTTTCTCAGTGTCTGTATGGTATGTCTAGTTCAGGAGAAAGAGCTTTTTAAAAATAATTTAAATTACAAAATGTGGTATGTAAGGAAGATATATGGGTGGCATATAAGCCCTTGAAAATATATTCAAGATCACTTTTCGTGTGAGGGAAGTGGCCATTAAAACCACAATGGGCTATCACTGCATACTTACTAGGATGGTGGAAATGAAAAAGACTGATTATACCAAGTGTTGGTGAAGATGTGAAGGACTGCACGTTTATTTAAGAATCAAGAGTGAGGACTTAAGCCTGGAAGAAGCCCCCATGGAACGCTGGAAAAGCTGCCCAAATTCAGAGCTCCTCAGTAAGGTTTATATAGAGTTATTGCAAGGATTTCTGTGGAGACAAAGAAAATTTGGGTAGGTATCAGGCTAATGTATTTTTCTGTTACATGTTAACTTGCCAGGCCAACACCAGAGTAAGGGGAAGAAGAAGAATGGGAATTAACGTATGATATGTATAGATATACATTAAAGAAAATAATGCCTTATCTCCTGGGGAAGTGGGTGTTTTCGTGGTGTCATAAACCTCAACGTGTCTTTCCTTGAAGTTACTGGGCTGCTCAGAGACAGCTGCCGTTTGGGTCTGCACCCCTTTCACAGCACCAGGTCTGATTCTTAGCTTGCACCTCTTGCTTGAGACAGGGGTGGTGGTTGGGAGTATGCTTAGGGGCAGCTATTGCTTCAGCAGCAGATTCTGCAGTATCTTCAAGAGTTGGGTGCTATTACATTTCTGGAGGCCAGTCAACTGAAGCATCTGTAGCCTGCTCAGGTAGTTTTATTCTGGTAACTCTGATGTCCCTGTCTTTGCACAGAATCTAGACACAAGTGTTTCCTGGATTCGGTGTTGATGACTAGAAAAGGAAATGGGCCCCAGAGTTAGGGAGTCTTACACAATACAGAGGAGCTGAGGTTTTTATTTTGTTTTTCAGAGAAACTAAAGATTTGGAAGTCAGGGAGAAGTTTGTGATGGGCAGGACTGTGGGCACGCCAGTGTGGTGGCAAACCCAATAGTCTGAGAGGCCTTGTCCAACACTCCCACCCATATGTGCACGTTAGCAACGGCCTGCGAGATGCAGATGAGGGCATTATCTTGCCAGGCCAACACCAGAGTAAAGGGAAGAAGAAGAAAGAGCATGAAAGTATGATATGGTGTTCTGGGTGGATATAGCCCACATTGGTGTCGGCTGCTTTCTTGTCTATTTAGCCTGTAGTCTGCCGTGTCTGCCCAGGGCTGGGAGCTTTTACTAGCTCTGAGATGTATTCTCAAGGTTCCCGCCTCTGAAGTTTGGCTACCGGCTGGGTAGTGAGGAGGAGGTGAAGTAGTCTTTGCTAAGAAAGTCAAGGGCAGTCTTCATTCTTAGTGATTCCAAATGAACAGAGTGGGAGAAAATTAGAAACATTAGATTGGAGAGTTGTAACCAGCTATTCGAAGAAACTGGAAGACTTCAGAATCTGGTTCAGTTTACAGAATATAACAACGCCTCAAAGGTAACTAACAGGACTGGAAACTATTATCGACAAAGGTACAAACACAATTTTTCTCTCAATAATTGTCTCATGTTTTTCTAAAGATAATCACACTAACAATAATTTGTGTAAAACTTGACCTATTTATGGATGTAAGTGATGGTCTTTTTAAAACTGCTTGCTGGCAACTTGCAAAATCTGTTGAGGTCAAGTCAGGGACTCACCATCAGATTTTACCTATAATACCTATAGTTAAGAAAATTTCTCAAATATGCCATTTCTGTCAAAGTCTTGATAATATAACCAATATTTCCAATTGTGTTCTTACAGGAGTACATACATACATACATACATACAGGCTAAACTCTGGAGGGATCAGGTAGGGAAGAAAGTTTATGAAAGTGTTCATGAAAGCGTTGTTTACCAAATTGCTGTAAATCATGAACAGTTCTTAAAGGGAACAATTTCAAGCATTAAGGGATCAGCAATGTTTTAAGCAAAAATCTTTTACTGCCATGTAACAAATTCTTGTTTTACTTGAGAATCCAGTTTCTCGTTAGTTCTGGAAATTTTTACTCATTATGGTTTATGACTTTCAAATTATTAGAAACCTGTATTTGTCCAAATTTTTCCCATGAATATCTTTGAGGATGAAGCACTTTTGAAGGAACATTTTTGCCAAAACATCAGCGTAAAACATTAACTATAAATGACAAAAAAGTGGTTAAACATCTGTTGAGAGTTTACTATAAAGAGTTGGTATTGTTATTTGGCTATGCTTGCCATACTAAATAAACCTAGTTTGATATTTCTCTTTGTAGAAGAAGAAAGAGAACAAATCATCTGAGATGTCCCAGATGCTCTGCAAAACTCCATCATCTTAGCAGTAAAAAAAGACTTCATTTAGAATTTTAATTTGGGAAGATGGCCAATAATATCAA